GCTCAACACCGCCGGCAGCGGAATATTCAGCTTCTTCGTCAAATACACGTAACACCTCTTATTACTCAAATGTCTTATTGTATACCCCACCGCCATATCGTCATTACTCCAATAAATCTTCTTCCTCCCCGACAAAATCTTGATTTGCGACTCCGAAAACACCTTCGACAGCAGCGCCTTCTGCTCCTGCAGCGACAAATACGCCCGTTTCGACCTCAAGTACTCCTGATGGAGATTCGACAACTCCACGTCTTTAGCTTTATAGTACTCCATTTGATTCGTCAGACTTTCTTTCAGACTCTTCAGATTGTCCTCCAGCTTGGAGATGTTCTGCCGAATCGACCTGTTGCAGTTTTCCAGAGCTTCCAGTTGCTCCTTCGTCTGGACGTGTTTGTATTTTTCCAGATCGTGCTCGGGAATTACGCGTTCCACGGGCGGTTTTTTGGGCTCTGGGGCGGAATCTGGTTCCGACGCGAAGACGATCATTTCGCGGAGTTCTTCGTGGGGGTCGGAGTCTTTGATGACGATTTGGGTTGTGAGGGGTAAGTAGAGGGTGGGGACGGCGTCGTATTTTAAAACTTTGGTGTAGCAAGTCATGTATTCGATCATTTTGACTTCGGTGGTGTAGCTGTCTTCGCTGAAATGGATTGAACAGATTCGGGCTACGTTGATGTCGATTTCTTCGGGCGGCCAACCAGAGGCGGTGATCCATTGCTGGGCGATGAGGGGGTGCTTGGGGAAGACGTAGTAGTGAACGGAGGGGTCGGCAGTGCTGGGGTTGTTGTTGGAGCAGCCCCAGATAATGCAGGACATTTTCTGGAAACATGATTAATTTTTTTTTTGAAATTGTAGCCACAGATCTTCAAACAACGAAGGAAAATTGTTATAAAAATTAAAAATTTTGATATAAAACAAGTTTTATTATATACTATTAATAATCTTTACAAAAAATAGGGTTTTAACTTATTCGAAGCTGACCATCGCTGTACCGCAGACAGGGCTGGCAAAGGCATGTTCACAGTGTTTTTTAAATATAAATAGCACTCGCGACTCCCCACGTGTCTCAAAGTGAAAGCCATAGCCATATCGTCGTAACTCCACACAACCTTTTTCTTCACCATCAACATATTACTCTGTGCTTGCAAATACCTTGTAAATCAAGTTACTCATCACTTTTCTATCATTCTTCTTCAGAGGAATCTTCTCAATCAACCCCGTCAATCTACAAATCTCTTTATCAACATTCCAAATCCAAAAAAATTAAAAATCGATGTTTTTTGCATTTTTGATTTTTAAATTTTAGATTTTTCAATCTTTTGATATTTTAATTTTTCAATATTTCTTAATCTTTCGATTTTTCGACTTCCTGGTTTTAGATGTTCTGTTTTTTCAATTTGTTAATTTTTCATTCCCGATTTATCGAGATTTGGCTGTTCAGGTTTTCGATTTATCAGTTTTTCAATTTTTTATTTTGGCCTATTTTGGTTTCTCAGTTTTTCCAGTTTTCCATTTTTTCGTTTTTTGATTTTTCCGCTTTCATAATTATTCAACTTTTAACTTTTTGATTGTCAATTTCTCAATTTAAAATCGAAAAGTCGAAAAATTGAAATATTGAAAAATCCCAAAACTGAAACAAATATCCAAAATTGAGAAATTAAAAAATTAGCCAACCGAAAAATCCAAAAATCGAAGAATTGAAGAACTGAAAAATCGAAACTGCGAATTCGAGAAACGGGAAAATCAAAAAAATATATTAATTGAAAAATCGGAAAACTGAAAATGTAGCAACGTCAAAATTTGAAAAATTGGAAAATAGAAATACTAAAGAACTGGAAAATCAAAAAATCCAGAAATCGGAAAACCTTAAATTTACAACAGTGAACAATTGAAATATCGCAAAATTGAACAATGGAGAAATCCAAACATCAAAGAATCAAAAAACAAAATTCGAAAACCTAAAACTTAAAAATCGAAAAACTGAAAAATCGACAAATCGAAATTCCAGAATTTAAAAAAATTGAAAAATCGGATAACTGAAAAATCGAAACATCGAGAAATAGAAAAGAATTGAGAAACTGATAAATTGAGAAACTGAACAATCAAAACATCCCAACATCTTAATTCGCTAAATCGAGAAATAAAAAAAATTGAAAAATTTTAAAAAAGAAAAATTAAAACATCGAAAAGTTGAAAAAAAATTGAGAAATCGAAGTATAATACTGTCGAAAATTTGAAAAATCTAAAGTTTAACGAAAAATTGAATAAATCCAAAAAGTAAAAAAGGGATGGAAATCCAAAAACAGCAAACTGAAAAATTTTAAAACTGGAAAATCGACGAATTAGATAAAATTGAAAGAAACAACAAAAATTAAGGAAACGAAAAATAAAAAATCAGGAAAACGCAAAATAAAAATCGGAAAGTTGAAAAATTGAGGGGATGAAAAATTGAAAAAGGGAAAAATTGAAAATTTGGAAGTCGATAAATTGTAAAATTGAAAAATCAAAAATTAAAAAACGAAAAAGTGTATAATAAAAACTTGAAAAATGTAAAAAGTGAATATCAAACTTGAAAATTTGAAGACAAATTAAGAAAAACCTGAAAATTTGAAAAATTGAATAAACGAAAAATTGTGAAATCGAAAGAAACAACAAAAAAATAAGGGGGCTAGCACTCCTGACTTTGTTTTAAATCTTAGATTCTTGCGCTTGTCAAAATATAATTCAATGTCCATTTCACAATAAATAAAATAAGTTAGTCAAATGAGGCAGGAGGTGGGTGGGGCTATGTTCAGCTTTTTCAATAGACTTAATAACAAGAACTAACCCCGCCCACCCACCCACGTTCATTTCAGTGATTCTTTGTCTACTCTGAATGAAAGGTCGCTCTTATACTAAACAGAAGTAAAATTAGTTGTTAAAATGAGAAGAACCCAGATGGGCGCGGTTAGTACTTGCTATGATAAAAGTGATTTTGGCACATAATATACCCTAGAAGAAAATAGGGGCGGGTGGGCGGGTTTAGTACTTGGTACGGTAAGATTGAATTTGGCACATGACATATCTTCTAAGAAAATACAGGGTGGGCGGGTGGGGCTAGTACCTGCTAAGATAAGACTGATTTTGGCAAATGATATACCCTCTAAGAAAACAGAGGCGGGCGTGTGGGTGGGGCTAGCACATTTGACTTTGTTTTATATCTTAGATTTTACCGCTTGTCAAAATAGAATTCGATTCTCAATGTGCAGTAATTCAAATAAGTCAGTGAAATAGAGAAAAAAGGTGGGCGGAGCTAAGTTTAGCTTTTTTCTTAAGATTCTCTCTTCATTCCAGTGACTAATCTTTGTTCAGTCTTACTTTAACAAGATTAGCCCCACCCACCCGCCCTCTCTTTTCTTAGAGTGTATATGATTTGCCAAAATCAGTTTTCTCTTAACAAGTACTAAAAAAAAATGAAAAATTGAAAAAATGCACTTCAAAAAATTGAAGACGTCAAAAATTGAAAAATCGAAAAATTGAATAATTGAAAATTGAAAACTGCTGCAATTCTTTCTTCACAGCCAATAAGAATGAATGATCAAAATGGAATGGGGGTCGGTGGGAGAGGCTACTTTTTACTTTGTTTTAAATCTGAGATTCTACCGCTTGTCAAAATAAAATGCAACTCCGATTTCGCAATAAATAAAAGCAGTTAGTTAAATGAAGAAGGAGGTGGGCGGGGCTATATTCAGTTTTAGCAATAGACGTATGAGCAAAAACTAGCCCCGCCCACCCACCCACCCTCATTTCAGTGATTCTATTGTTTACTCTGAATGAAAGGTCGCTCTTATACTAGAACTAGAACCCAGATGGGCGGGGCTAGTACTTGCTGTGACAAAAGTGATTTTGGCACATGACGTACCCTCTAAGAAAATGAGGGCGGGTGGGTGGGGCTAGTACCTGATAATATAGGACTGATTTTGGCAAGTGGCATACACTCTGTTACGAAAAAGTGAAAATAAAAAAATGGGTAAAATGAAAAATAAAAATCGGAAACAAAAAAATTGGAAAAGGGAAAAATTGCCAAATTGAAAAGCTGGTGTAAACCGAAAAATTGAAAATTTTGGAAGTCGAGAAATTGTAAAATTGAAAAATCAAAAATAAAAAACGAAAAATTACAAAATGAAAACCTGAAAAATCTTAAGAATCGAAAAAGTGAAAAAAAAGAAATTTGTATTATGAAATAGAAATATTGAAAATTAAAGAAATTGGAAAATCGGAAGACGGGAAATCTAAAAACTGCAAAGTGAAGAATTTAAAAATTGAAAAATGAACGAACTGAAAATTCAAAGCCTGAAAATTTGAAAAATTGAACACATGAAAAATTGTAAAATCGAAAAAAACACAGAAAATAAAGGAAATGAAAAAACGGACAATTGTGATATAAATCGAGAAAATAAAAATTAAAAATTCGTCACATTGAAAAATAAAAATCGGGAACATGAAAAATTGTGGAAACGAAAAATTGAGAAACTGAAAATTCGAAAAATTGCAACTCGAAAAATTGAAAAATTTAGAAGTCAAGAAACTGTAAAATTGAAAAATTGGAAGACTGGAAATCCAAAAACTGCAAATTGAAAAATTTTAAACGTGGAAAATCATGGAATCAAAGCCCGAAAATTTGAAAAATTGAATAAATAAAAAATTGTAAATCGAAAGAAACAACAAAAAAATAAAGGAAATAAAGAAACCAAAAATTGTGATATAAAATCGAGAAACGTCGCGAAAACTTAAAATTAGTCATTCGCCAGAGGATCTCTTTACTGCGTTATCAGCAAAAAAAATCTCTAAATCGAATCTTACAATTATCTGACAAAACTGAACATGTTATACCGGACTTCAAGAGCGAGGAACTTGCAAGAGTAAACGAGTAAAATCTGAAGCCCCTTTTGAACTGAAAACCAAATTTTAATATAAGAGGAACAAAAAATGTCTGATAAGGATTGTTAAGAAAAAAACTATCGTTAAATTAGAAGATCTTAACACATATTTTTATAATTATTAAAATAAATAAAGTCAATTTCAGTCGCTGTCCTCATCTTCCGCTTCCGCTTCCGCTTTCTTAAAACTCGCGTTGTCCACCCCTTTCCGTCCCTCTCCCTTCAGCGTCATCCACCTCTTGATGCTCGACACCGCCGGCAGCGGAATATTCAGCTTCTTCGTCAGATACACATAACACCTCTTATTACTCAAATGCCTTATTGTATACCCCACCGCCATGTCGTCATTACTCCAATAAATCTTCTTCCTCCCCGACAAAATCTTGATTTGCGACTCCGAAAACACCTTCGACAGCAGCGCCTTCTGCTCCTGCAGCGACAAATACGCCCGTTTCGACCTCAAGTACTCCTGATGGAGATTCGACAACTCCACGTCTTTAGCTTTATAGTACTCCATTTGATTCGTCAGACTTTCTTTCAGACTCTTCAAATTGTCCTCCAGCTTGGAGATGTTCTGCCGAATCGACCTGTTGCAGTTTTCCAGAGCTTCCAGTTGCTCCTTCGTCTGGACGTGTTTGTATTTTTCCAGATCTTGCTCGGGAATTACGGGTTCCACGGGCGGTTTTTTGGGCTCTGGGGCAGAATCTGGTTCCGACGCGAAGACGATCATTTCGCGGAGTTCTTCGTGGGGGTCGGAGTCTTTGATGACGATTTGGGTTGTGAGGGGTAAGTAGAGAGTGGGGACGGCGTCGTATTTTAAAACTTTGGTGTAGCAAGTCATGTATTCGATAATTTTGACCTCGGTGGTGTAGCTGTCTTCGTTGAAATGGATTGAGCAGATTCGGGCTACGTTGATGTCGATTTCTTCAGGGGGCCAACCAGAGGCGGTGATCCATTGCTGGGCGATGAGGGGGTGCTTGGGGAAGACGTAGTAGTGAACGGAGGGGTCGGCAGTGCTGGGGTTGTTGTTGGAGCAGCCCCAGATAATGCAGGACATTTTCTGGAAACATGATCAATTTTTTTTGAAATTGTAGCCACAGATCTTCAAACAACGAAGGAAAATTGTTATAAAAATTAAAAATTATGATAAAAAACAAGTTTTATTATATACTATTAACATATAAAAAAATCTTTACAAAAATTAGGGTTTTAATTTATTCGAAGCTGACCATCGCTGTACCGCAGACAGGGCTGGCAAAGGCATATTCAAAGTGTTCTTTAAATATAAATAGCACTCGCGACTCCCCACGTGTCTCAAAGTGAAAGCCATAGCCATATCGTCGTAACTCCACACAACCTTTTTCTTCCCCATCAACATATTAATCTGTGCTTGCGAAAACACCTTATAAATCAAATTACTCATCATTTTCCTATCATTTTTCTTCAGAGGAATCTTCTCAATCAACCCCGTCAATCTACAAATCTCTTTATCAACATTGTTAATTTTTTTCTTGTACAGTTCACTCTTCTCTTGTAACACTTTCTGCTTTAGAATAAGTTTCTCAAACTTCGCCTTCAGCTGCTCGTTCGTGTTCACCGCTTCTTTAATCTGATCAAACTCAGGTCTAGCTCCTACAATTTTCACCTCCGGCATTCCAACCATCCAACCCAAATTATCCCTAGGGATAGCGTCAGGTTTTAAAATCGTTCTATTGTCGTCTGCATAATCACCCCATTTGAAATGATCCGAACACACTTTAGCAGCCGTTGTGGGGTGGTCTGCCGCCACTCCGCATTTTTCCGTCCATATTTTAGCGACAGAGCGGTTTTTCGGAAACGGGAAAAAGTGGTCTTCAGATAAACTCGGGTGGTAGTAGTTGGGACACGATATCACAGTGCACTTGATAAGCTCAGACCTAAATCGAATCGGTTTTTCGCAGCTTTGGAACGTCTAATACTTACCCATCGGCTGCTTGAGTCATTGTGGTTATGCGCTACGCGATTTTTTATTTGCAACTGCAAATAAAGTCATTATGGGCGGAAATCGCAGAAAATGGGTTAGGGAAAAGGGCGAGGTACTTACTTTGGTGATTGAGGGGGTTGTCTCGTCTGGGATTCAAATTTTCATAACAATAACAAAGGTTTGAGGTTAGGTGTCACTTGTCAACATAGAATTCTATGTTGTCAAAGTGGTTACATCGAATAAGAAAAAAAAAAATGAGATCGAGATTGCTTTGATACACTCATTTTCAAGTTTTTTATTTAGTCAGAGAACATAATTTCTTGCTGTTTCAACTTTCGAATTTTCAGTTTTTCGAAATTTTAGTTTGGGGACTTTTCAGTTTACTCCTATTTATTATTCAATGTTTGGATTTTACAATTTCTCAATTTTTCAATTTCTCGGTTTTCAGTTTTTCTCTTCAATTTTACGATTTTTAAATATTTCGATTTTTCAATTTTTGACTTTTATAAGCTCTTTATTTATCGATTTTTCAGGTGTTTTGGGTTTTCAATTTTTCTATTTTTTCAGGTTTCGATTTTTTAACTTCACTTTTTTGATTTTTCGATTCTTGGGATTCTCAGTTTTTGGATATTTCCGTTTTTCGATGTGTCAATTTTTCTTTCATTTTTCAGTTTTTCAATATTTCAGTTTTGGGATTTTTCAATATTTCTGTTCTTCGACTTTTCCATTTTTGACTTCTGGATTTTTCGATGTGTCGACTTTTTACTTTTTTGATTTTTAAATTTTAGATTTCTCAATTTTTTGGTATTTTAATTTTTCAATATTTAAAATTTTAGATTTTTCGATTTCTCGATTTTTCATTTCAGCTCTTCCTTCCATATTTGAATTTTTCATTTATTATTATAAATAATTTAAAAAATTCGAAAAATGGAAAAATCGGAAAATTGAACCATTGAGACATAACATTTTAAAATCCAGCAATGGAAAAATTACCAAAATTGAAGTGTTGAAAACCTGAGAAATCGAAACATGGGATTATTAAAAAATAAAAAAAGTAGAAGAATTGAAAAGTCTTAAAGACTGAAGAATCGAAAATTCGAAAAATCAAAAATCAAAAATTAGAAACATTGAAAATTCGAGTATCGAAAATCGAAAAGTAAAAAATTGAGAATTCTAAAAATTGAAGAACGGAAAAATTGAAAAATCGGAAATTCAAAAAATCAAAACTCGATAAACGAAAATTTGGTGAAACAAAAAAATATCCAAGAATCGAAAATTGAAAATTCTAAAATTGAAAAATCGAAATTAAAAAAATTCGAAAAATGGGAAAGTCGTAAAATCGAGAAATAAAAATATTGAAAAACTGAAACATCGAGATATCGAAACATCAAAAGGTCGAAAAATCGGAAAGTAGAGAAGTCGAGAAATCGACAAACCGAAAAATCTAAAATTAAAAATGTATTGAAAAATTTAAAAATCCAGCAATGTTAAATTTTTCCAAAATTGAGGTGTTGAAAACCTGAGAAATTGAAAAGTTTTAAACATTGAAAAACTGTGAAATCGAGAAATGGAAAAATCGAAACATGGAATTATTAAAAAATTAAAAAATCGAAAAACTAAAAAAAACGAAAAAATGAAAAATCGAAAAACTGAAAATTGGGAATCGAAAAGTAAAAGTATTGAAGTCTTAAAGACTGAAGAATTGAATAATTGAAAATTCGAGTATCGAAAATTAAAAAAATCAAGGTTCAGAAAATCGAAAAGGAAACGACGAATTGAAAATTCGAATATCGAAAAAGAGAAAATTCGATGAAACAAAGTAAACAAACCGAAAACTCAAAAGTCTAAAAATCGAAAATCAAAAATTTCGAAAAATCCAGGAATCGAAATGTCGAAAGTCGAAATATCGGAGATTCTAAAATCGAAAAATCGAAATTAAAAAAATTCTAAAAATGGAAAAATCGAAATATTGAAAAATTCATATATCGAGATATCGAAACGTCAAAAAGTCGAAAAATCGACAAATTTCCAAAACTGAAATGTTGAAAAGCTGAGAAATCGAAAAATTTTAAACATTGAAAAACCGAGAAGTCGAAATTGAAAAATGTAACATTTAAAAAATCGAAAAATTGGAATATCGACAAATCGAGTGGTGGAAAATCGAAAACATTGTAAAATTTTCTGTGAAATCAAAAAATTCGAAAATTGAAATATCGTGAAATCGGGAAATTAAAAAATTGTAAAGTAAAAAAATTGAAAAATCGAAAAACCGAAGATTTGATTTGAAAATTTGGGAAATCGAAAAGTAGAAGTCTGAAGAATTAAAAATTCGAAAAATAAAAATCGAAAAATAGAAAGATTGAAAATTCCAGTATCGAAAATCGAAAACTAAAAAACTGGAAAATATAAAAATTAAAGGAAGGTCACAAAATTTTTAAAACGAAAATTTAAAAATTCGAAAATCGATTTTTCGACTTCCCGGTTTTAGATTTTCTTTTTTTTGCAATTATCGTTTTTTCAATTTTTCGATTTTTAAATTTTACATTTTTCAGTTTTTTGAGATTTTCAGTTTTCAGTATTTAAAATTTTAGATTTTTCGATTTCTCGATTTTTCATTTCAGTTCTTCGATATTTCCGTTTTTCATGATTTCGATTTATTCAAATGTTTTGATTTCTTAATCTATCGATTCTTCGACTTCCCGGTTTTGGATTTTCTGTTTTTCGATTGTCGTTTTTTCAAATTTTCGATTTTTCAATTTTTCAAATTTGACATTTATAAACTGTCAATTTTTCGATTTTTCAATTATTCGATGTTTTGATTTTCCCATTTCTTGACTTTCGAGTGTTTCGATATTCCTATTCAATTGTTTAATTTTTCGATTTTTCATTTTTTAGTTTTTTTAAGGTTTCGATTTTTCGACTTCACTTTTTGGATTTTTCGATTGCTCAATTTTTCGACTTTTTAGGTCCTTAGTTTTTGGATATTTCAGTTTTCGGATTTTTCAGCTTCTCCATTTTTCAGTTTTTCGATATTTCACTGTTGGGATTTTTCAATTTTTCAAATTTTGACGTTTCTAAATTTTCTATTTTTCGATTTCACAATTTCTCCATTAATTGATTTTTTGTTTTTCCCATTTCTCGACTTTTCAATATTTCGATTTTTCAGTTTTTCAGTTCTTTAGTTCTTCCTTCGAATTTTCTACTTCCATTTTTTAACTTTTCCATCTCTAGATTTTTCAGTTTTTAAATTTTTCCAATTTTTCGTTTCTTCAATTTTTCTCCCATTTTTCAAATGTCCGATATTTCAATTTTTGGATTTTTCAAATATTTCGATTCTTCAATTTTTGGATTTTTCGATTTCTGAAATATTTGATCTTTGGAGTTTTAAATTCTATATTTTTCAGTTTTTCGGTTTTAAAATTTTTCGATTTTTCGATTTCCCAAATCTTTGATTTATCGATCTTTTTAATTTAAAATTTAAAACTTTTCAGTTTTTAACTGTTCTGTTTTTCGATTTTGGCTTTTATGATTTGTCAATTTTTTAATTTTTGATATCTCGATTTTCAGTTTTTCGATTCTTCAATTTTTGTTCGATTTTGCAATTTTTGGATATTTCAGTTTTGGGATTTTTCACTCTCTCGAGTCTTCAATTTTTGATTTCTCAATTTTGACTTTTTCTATTTTTCAAATTTTCAGTTCTTAAATTTTAAATAATTAAATTTTTCGCATTTTCCTATTTATCGATTTATTGGTTTTAAGTTTTTTAAATTTTCAGTTTTTAACTACTTAATTTTTTATTTTCGCCTTTTTTTGGTTTGTAATTTTTTTTATTTTTCGACTTTTGGACTTTTCGATTTCTGGATTTTCGGTTTTTCAATTACTCAATTTTTCGATATTGCAGTGTTGGAGGTGTTCAATTTTTGACGTGTCTAAATTTTCAGTGTTTCGATTTCCCATTTTGTCGATTAATCAATTTTTTGTTTTTCCCATTTCTCGCTTTCTCGACTTTTCAATTTTCATTTCTTCAATTTTTGGATTATTCAATTTTTCAATGTTTTAAATTTTCGATTTTTCGCCTTCAATCTCTCGATTTTTCAATTTTTCCTTATTCGTTTTGAGAGTTTTCTGAATTTCGATTCTCCAATTTTTCAATTTTTCAGTTTTGACGTTTTCGATTTTTCAAATTTTCGGTTTATAGTTTAAAGATATTTAAATTTTTGGTGTTCTCGATTTTTCCATTTTTCAATTTTTCGATTTTTATCATTTAAATTTTTCAATTTTTTAATTTCTATTTTTCATTCGAATCAAAAAGTCAAAAAACCGAAAAAACGAAAAATCGAAACTTCCAAAAATTCAAAAACTGAAACATCGAAATATCGGTAAATCGAGACTTGGGAAATCAAAATATTTTAAAAATAGAAAAACTAAATCCAAAAATCAAGAATTTTAAAAATCAAAAAACAGAGTGAGAATAGAAACATAAAAAAATGAAAAATCCTGAAATTGAAAATTTTCCAAAATGGAAATGTTCCGGAATTGAAAAATTGAAAACTTGAAAAACAAAATCCCGGTTTTGGATTTTATGTTTTTCAATTGTCTTTTTGTCAAATTTGACTTTCATAAACTCTCAATTTTTCGATTTTTCAAATAATCAATGTTCTGATTTTCCCATTTCTTGACTTTCGATATTCCTGTTCTTCAATTCTTTAATTTTTCGATTTTTCATTTCTTAGTTTTTTAAGGTTTCGATTTTTCGACTTCACTTTTTGGATTTTTCGATTGCTCAATTTTTCGACTTTTTAGGTTCTCAGTTTTTGGATATTTCAGTTTTCGGATTTTTCATTTTTCAGTTTTTCTTTCAATTTTCAGTTGTTGGATATCTCAGTTTTGGGATTTTTCAATTTTTCGATTTTTAAATTTTAGATTTTTAATTATTAAAATTTTAGATTTTTCGATTTCTCGATTTTTCAATTCAGTTCTTCGATATTTGAATTTTTGAAGTTTTCGAAATTTTCAATTTCTTAATCTTTTGATTCTTCGACTTCCCGGTTTTAGATTTTCTGTTTTTCAATTGTCATTTTGTCAAATTTTCGATTTTTTAATTTTTCAAATTTGCCTTTCATAATCTCTCAATTTTTCGATTTTTCAATTCATCCATGTTTTGATTTTCCCATTTCATGACCTTCGAGTGTTTCGATTTTC